ATTACATACTCCGGAAAGTGGAAGATTATTGAAAAGGTGGTCGATCACGTATTAGTGTGGTTGCTTATTCCCARAACAAATTAGTTAATAACATTTGAGCATCGAATTAGGTATTATATGGCAAATTAAAAAAAAATGATAAAGAAGATCAAGATTACTATTTTTTCTCTACGATATATTTGATTTTGTTTTTACATTTTACTATAGTAAAAGTTGATGATAGATAACGAAATTTTGTAATCTTTAACGCTTTGGAGTTAAATCGTGAGAGTTAAATAACGTATGCACTTGCCGACTAATTATCGAAACTGTGGGCTCCGTGCTTCAGTAATGACACTTCTCGTGTTTACATTCATATTCAATTTGCTCGGTAAACGCACCATATTGGCAAACTGTGTAAGTCTTTCCTGTTACAAAATCATTTAGACCAGATCATGGAGATTAGAATTCGCAAATCTAAAGAAACATTTACAAGTTAATTAAACAAATTGAAAAACAAAGTGGCTTTGATTAATTCTAGTAAGTTCATTGATAGTGGATTATAAAGTGTTTTTTGGTTGAGTAGCCACTGATCAACTTAGCGATGGAAAGCTTACCTTATAAGTAAATTTAACTTTAATATCAYTTAAGCAAAGCGAATTGTCACCATCTATGTATCAATTGATGGTAGTGTTACCTATTAAAAGCTTTCACTTAATAAGATACAACACAGTTTCGATATCAACACTTTTAATTGTATTTACAAAGTCTCTTGAAAAGGGTGTCAAAGACATTTTGAAACTAATACCGTTATCACAAACATTAACTGAACTCATGAAATCAGAACGCACATGTACAGCTTCGTCACAACAACTCCATTTTGCGCAACTCTAAAAATAACAATTTCTAATATTAGGAAAAGATATGCTTAGAATACTAATTAGATACGCTTAAAGAGTTCGTTGATTCTTGTTAAAAGCAAACTGATCCTCTGCGTTCAAATCAAGTAAATCCSTTTGACAATAGTATTCATAGTACTACATTATGCTAAGTAAATTCCAGAGTATTAAACCTTCTTAACTTAATTCAAAGCTTTAATTCCACAAAAGGTGTTATAAACAATATTTAACGTTTTTATAGATGCACAAGGGTAACTTAAGTTAAAAGTTTTGGTATTAATTTGACAAGAAATTTCGTGAGCTTTTTATAAAATCTTCAGTTACTAAGCTGTCGTAGATGGGACAAAAGTAGCTTTGAAGCGAACAGCAGTTACTATCCCTCAAGCTATAATTAACTAGTTATACTTTCTGAAATCAAAAGTCTATTGTGTTTGCATTCATTTAATTTACAAAGCCTTTGTATACGTTGCATAAGGGATTGTCCGCTAATTAAATCTTGGTGCATCCATAACAGCGACCATAAGGTTTTGTAAACAGCTCGACAACGAAGTCAAGCGTTGCCCACTGGGTCCATTAGGCAAAACATCCCTCRGGGTATTGTATTCGCTCTCCGGGAAGCTAAACATTGTAAAAAAATTATTTCTCGTGTAATGAGTCAAGATTGCTTATTTGTCCCACCAGCTGGGTACTCTGTTGCTTGAAATTAGCTTTTATAAACAACGGGAAGCTAAAAAGCTGATCTGATATTGTGCACAGGCCGTTTCTCGGCCAGCTCGGGGCACGTCTTGGATTTTGAAATGCTTTGAGGGTGAAATTACGACATTTCTKAGCTAATTTACTCTCGATAACGGCCTTTGTTCACTCTCCCAAGGCAACAGATTGAGTTTAATTAGTCTGATTGTGCGTTAATAATCCACAGAGTSCTTCGAATTTTTAATCAACGTAACAATCACTTCCAAATTATAAGAGATAACCTTTGGTTGATAAATTTTCAATGTATTACCCTGCTATCGGCTTATGAATGGTAAGCACTTGATAAACGATGCTTAATTTTACCAATTTAGAAAGCAAATAGTTGAAGTAGGTGTTGACATAATCGAGAAAGCGACAACGGAAATGCGCAGAAAAGTATCGAGGGCGTATTGAGCAAGGGGCACCACTTAACAAATCAGAGTTTAATTGACCACTCGAACTGTGATTGGACGATCAAAATAAGTTATTTATTCGTTGTCTATTGTTTTCGAGGCTAAACACTAATTAAGAGACTGACTCACGGTCATTTTGATTAAGAGACAAAAGCAATAGATTAAAGTCAACTAGAAAATTTGCATTTATTAATATCCTCAAGTCGAGAGAACAGGTACTACGAGCGTCGACCAGCAGTTTGCCCGCTGTAACGTTCAGAGAAGGAGCCCCGARCGTGGACTTAAGAGGATAGCAGAGCTTACTATGAATAAAGCGAATCGCGATAGCGTTCTTGTCATGGAGTCYACCAGGGATAACACTCCGGTCGAGTTACAGAAACATCACTCCATTGAATCGGCATTGATACAGGCATCTAGCAAAGGTTACACTATAGAAATGATACTTGGCAAACACGARAAATCGAAAGCGAAGAGCCAGCCGGCGAAAAATGAAAACGTTACCTTCCCAGCTGACGTAGAGCACGAGGCAAATGGTAGGTATAMCGCTAACTACAGTWAAGGACTGCGAGAGTTAACTTAACTTGCATTACTCGCTTATTGAAATAACAACGTTTAATCTCATTATAACTAAGTACATTATGGCAAGTGTTGACGTTCGATAAATAGGCTGTTATGTTAGCACAGCAGGACGAGAGTTCAACGTGTTAGCGTTAATTCAACCTAACTCTATAACAATCCGACAGAGCTTTCCAGTTTCTGTTCTGGTTTTGRCCCTCTTACAAATCTTAAAGAATCGAATGTTTGTTATAATTACAAAAGTCGACTATCTCTTTAGAAATTATACTGTTTTAATTTCTCTGGTTCTAAAGCAGCTATCATTAGTGCATGTTGTAATGGAGTTTATAGTCTCGCTTTGCTTGCTCTAAAGTTGCAGCAAGATCTATTAAATAATCCATGTTTTTAATAAACACATTGGTTAAAATTCAAATCGCAGACGAGGCCCAAAGTCCGAATGAAAAGGATGACTCATTTGGCGCAGAGTCCGAAAGTTCAAGCGAGGATAGCAAGTCCAGAAAGATGCGCAGGAGTAGAACTACGTTTACAACATACCAATTACACCAGCTCGAAAGAGCGTTTGAAAAAACTCAGTATCCAGATGTTTTCACTCGCGAAGAGCTAGCTTTAAGACTCGACTTGAGCGAAGCTCGAGTGCAGGTTAGTAAATAATGAACACAGTTCTTAGTTGAAAAAAAAAACACCGTAAATTCATTAGAAAAAACACTTTTTTCAACCTTTTCACTGCCACAAAAACACGACCTTTTGTTTTCTAAGCATAGTTCGATTCTTTGTCTTAATTCTCGTTATGTTTTGTTAGAATGATTTCTATTTGTTTGTAATATAATTAACCTCGCTGTTATTTTTATGTGATTAAGCTATCAAGGTTGTTATAAGTGGCTATGAGTATCGAGAAATCTATCCTTTTTGACATCTAAACTTATTTATCTTCAAATTGTTGATTGATTTTACGATAGTATATCAGTTATCAACATAAGAAGCAAACATTTCTAGGGGGTTCATGTTCAAATTCGAAACTATACTTCTCGTATTTATCTTTGACGAAAGCAATGACCCAAGCACTAAACGAATTTATTAAAATTATTGATTAATGACAATGTCATAGTTTTAGTGCCTTTAAAAAGACAAACTCAAGATATTGAAAATTATACTTTCGTACTAATTTTCGCCACTAACCTTTAAAATATATCWASATTAGTACCGTTGAACAAGACATACTCGTAACGCTGAAACGGAAATCCGTACCGCGTACGCTTTCAGATTGGAAACTCGTTGAAACGCGAGAATTCGAGTTTCGTTTAAGTACCAAAAAAGAACTGCCAATCTTCAGTTGTGTTATTGTGTATTTTTAATGTTTGTTGTGATATATATTTTAGTGTCATTTAATGAATAGAATATGCAACGTTGTATACTATAAAGATAGAGTATTAAAGKTGACATTATTATTCTCTTACGGAGTTAGAATACAGTTATATGAAAGGAAATTACGTCGAGATTATAATAGAATTACCTAATGTCATCAGCAAAATAAATATTTAAAAATGGCTGATGTTTTTTGGCTTTTAAATGAGCATCGTATATATTTTTAGACTTATACGCCTCGAAAATAGTCTGACTGGATTTAAGCTAATAAAATTCGCAAACATGGAATATTAATTGTTTCTATTAATTAACGTGAATTCCATCTGAAATTAACTGTAATTAGTTCTAATTTAACGAGTTAAAATATAMATCATGATACAATCATTTGCAAAAAATCTGACCTCTAACATAATTATTATATCGCGTGCAATATATGGATATTTTCATGTGATTTTCGCTCGTTTTCTCGCTAAAACATATCGCTGATCATTTGAAAACATTCAAAATTATCTTTAATAAAGGTTATTCAAGCATAATCTGTAGTTTTATGTCAAATTAAGGGTTAAATCTGATATATCAACAACACTATATATATTGATATTTTTTTATATTTCAGTACATAAGTTGGCGGCCAGAAGTTCTTAAATTGAACGCTATRTTTAGACTAAAGGAGCTGTAGAGACTAATTACTTTGGGATGCAACATTGTAGTTTTTTAATCTTTTTGATTTATCGATATATGTATTTTTTTCTCCAGCTTTGTCTGCAAAAAAACATAATTTCAGTTTATATATCACATCCTGTGCAACATTGACCGCAACGATGTCTCGAAACACACAAAAAGTTGGACAAAACTAAACGAGCAAATTACCATTTTTGCAACAGAAAAAAATTGCTGACGGGTTCAAACTCTTAATTACGATGAAAAATACAAGTAAAAAATATCTTTTTTAGGAAAACATATGAGATTCAATAACATTTGCTCAGAAAAAAATATAGATGTCTCACAATATGCCCAAAAAAACCTGGTAAGGCTTTAGACCATCTTGATTTTCAATATCATTTTAATCTTAAGAAATTCAACACAAATAATAAGCTTTTTGCATAGTTTAAATCTCCACGTCATCTGTGCTAAGGAATCCTTGGAGTACATCAGTCCGCCATTTTTCTCGCAGAATCTTTATCACGTAACATTATTTTTTGATCCAAAATCATTTATTCGTGCAAATATAAGTTGCGCTCAGATCAACTTTGATAGTGCTTCCTTTCTCATCTAATTGTTTTTATTTACTTAGTATAATCGTTTGCTTGCTTGCTTTCACTGACTTAGAGCTAAGAACATAGGGCTTACCAAAAAAAAATCCACTGGCCACTGTGTAATAGTCAAAGAAAGTGAGCTAGCTTTATTAGCGATTGCGAAAGTGAATTATTCACGAGTTATGGAGAGTCTAGAAGAGGTTTTGCACGTTTTATATATATATTTTTTATTGAACACAAATACATAGCTCAAGAACCAATCAATATAATTAGTATCAAGTTTCAATCTTTTTTGTCAAAAAATTAAATTAATACTCAATTTTCGCTAACTCTGGCAGCATCTCTAGTCAAAACAAAGRGTGTTTTCATCAGACTCCGAAGTAGGACGTGTCAAAGGACATGATAGAGTGACTCTTGGCATTACATGAATAACATCGTGTAGTTAGGAACGCTTGAGAGACTGCCTGAAGACTCCGAGGAATTAGCTCTTATAGCGTAACGGATCTTGATTTGAAAAGTGGTTTGCCTCAAATATTTTAATCAAAACAACAATAACAGACTTTAGACAGCAACGAATGACAGATACGCATAATTTTACGRTGATAACAGTCTGAATAAGTTTGCATTTATTTTTTTGATAACAGAGTCATGTTGAGAAAATCAAATAGATCCTGTTGTTCGCTATTCTTTCCTATAAATTGCCTTGTCTATATATAATGTTTTATTTAATACAAACACTGATTTTGATGATGTTTTCGACTACTAGCTGAATGTGATCATCTGCCTGATTGAGAGGTTTCGTTGAGAGATCATTGAATAATAAGACTTTTTTGCCTTGCGAGATCAAACAAACATTTACTATTTTCCTAAAAAYATAAATAAAAAAACACCAATTAACCCAATTATTGTTTATTTGAAACCATTTTGATAAATATACATAAATTGATTTATTTTTTCAAACGTTTTTTTTTCTTTCATTTTCGAATGATTGCTTCTTAATTAGCTAACCTCAGCCGGTTATGATTCATAAGAGTCCTTAGAGTCCCTCAGGCAAAAAAAAYACGAAATGTTTTGATGYAACACGCTTAGTTTTTCTACAGATTTCTTTYAGAGAACTTAGCCAGGTGGCGGAGTTGAACACTTAGATTTCTTCAACAGACTGACAAAACTGAATATTTCAACGATATCATCAACTCTAATTGTTTTGATAGTAGATACTTCACGCTTATCTATCTACTCAATCAAAAGCCTTTTAGCCTAAGTATCTTTGACATGCAGTCCTTATGCAAAACAATTGATCGTATTCTCAAAAAGTCTATTCCATTAGAATATCGCTGAAAAGAAGACAAGGAACCGACACGAGTCTCTGACACAARAAAGCAAAACTTTATAAAGAAAAGGCACTAAAAAAGTTCCAATTAGATTCGTATCAGTTTTTGAAATCTATACAAATTGGACATAAAAGACGCTTTATCGAGTATTCATTAGCTAAATTGAGACTAAGAGCCCATTTTCACGCAAATTGTAACGTTTCTAGCAACACGTGGCGATTTTAGAACAATAGCAACGTTCAAAACCAGAAGAGCTCTCATTATAATATATCCTGACTCTCTGCATTTCAAAAAWACCCGTTCATATAACAGGCATATATATTCAAAGAAATGTTTAATATATAACGAGTTCTTATAAATTGTATATGTGTGATAAAAGTGAGTACAATTTGGCAACAACAAAAAATATATATAAATATGCAATGGTTTCGTAGCATGRTTACTATATAAACCGGACGGTCGTATTACTGAGGTTACTGAGAATTCAAAAAGAAAAAATTCGTTTGACACTAGCAGCGGACCAGAAAGTGATTTGAAGACCAATATGGGTACAGGAAAATGTCTAACATATAACACTGGCATGGTTTTTTGGCCTAATCAACTAAAGCAAAAAGGTAGCATTTTATATCTGAAGAAGGCCGAATGGCCRAAACGTTCAACGCGTTGATGTTTTGCGTAACATTATTCTACTTATAGCATTTCATCTTTACACTGAAAAGACCAGATTTCTGATGGTACGCAGAATTTCTCAAGTTTCTAATTCAATGCAAATGAGAAGATAACACTTTATAACCAACTAAGATAGCCGGGAGTATAAATACTATCTAAACTAGTAATTAGCACCTGTGAGATCTTGACATCTAAGACGCATCCAAAAATCTGTTTTCATTTTTGCTATCGGAATCACCTAGTAATCCTTCAAATCCAACATTTTGGTTTATTATGTATGCTACTATGGAACTCCAAAATCATTTAATGGGGATTAGAACTTTATGTATCACTTTTATATAAGCTTATATTGTAACCTCAAAAACCATCTTTCATTAAATCTTGGTAATTTKAGTAATAATTCGATAGTTAGATGATCTATGGCAGGGTGTTACTTAAAATGTATTCTAGAACATCTAATCGTTGAAACATACTTTAATATCGATCAGCCTGGAAAGGGGAGGATGCAGACCTACCCTCCTACAAAGCTAAGGGGTGTGTCTAAAGTAACCCCCCTTCCCCCCATACATGAAACAAAACATGTTTGAACACCCCAAACCATCGAAAACATTATTGCATAATGGATCAACCAACAAAGTCTTTGGTTTCCCAAAATCCTTCCAAATCCATCCAACATGTTTGACATCGGAGAAAATGGTCCATACATTTGGAACATTTGCTAATTTCGGTCCCAAGCTCCGAAAGAGAGGCTTGAGCGTGCGCACTACACTGTTGAGTCGGATCGACCGAAGAGAAGTCGGCATTCGCATGATTTTTACAAATCTAACGTAAAAGTCGAGCCTTTAAGATCATGAAAATCGAATAACAAAGCCGAAGATTAGTAAGAAGGACATTGGTGGCTCTCTAGGGAGGTCATTACCCGCAAGGATAGAATTTATGTAATCAAATCTACATTTAACTGCAGTCAGTACGCCAACATAAAGAAGCGGGCTATAAATATAAGTTAAAATTGAGAAATATTTGCCGTATTGTATCTGTGTAAGTAAGTCATTTTTGGGGGCCATACGATAAGCGCTAAAAAACGATTTTAAAAATCACAGTAACATATATATTCACGACGTTGTTATTCACGTCCCAAACCAGCATTGTAAGAGTTTAGTCACTAAATATTACTGGTCAATAGTTGTGCAAAATCATTCCCTTAAGAAGTCTCGCTTAAGAGACGAACCGCGTAGGAAAATAAAAAAAAGATTCACAGCTATTCAAAGAATTCTTTCTCCTTAGTGCTGCTCACTGTCCTCACTATCGATCAACAGCGTGACAGAACATCTTATATGCCACGAAAAATGTAGCTTTTGCAGTCGTTTTATGCTATAGACGCCTTGTCAGGCGAGTGCACAATTTTAAGTAGAATACGCCGTAAAGAATGCCAAAAGTACGGTGCTTAAATTTGACGGATTTTTAAGTATTTTATATCAAAATGTTCACAAAAGTGCGGAGATTTCAAATTCACTTCTGTTTTTTTGACAGGTTCTGTTTAATTTCAACGAGAGCGAGTTTACTACCTTGACCCGGGGTTTGTCACGTAATTTCTCTTGTAAAAGGCCTCCAATTGCGTACATTCAACTCAAAAAGTACGGTGAATTTTTTCACTAAAATTTCACCAAAAACATTTTATAGGTTCCCTGAATAGTTGATTCAACTGTACCCGTATCTGTTTTTTGTCTAGATAATTGCAATTTTGAGAAAATGCTCCAAAACCACGATTTTGAGACGAAAAATGTATGTAGCCATGTGGGGGGCGTGAGTCTAAAAATATGGCCTGACTATTTGTTAACACATTTTCTCCGATGAGTCTAGCAGCACACATATCAATGACAAGATGGCCAAACATCAAAATGTTGAGTGCCAAACGTTCTCTTTTGCCCTGTCCACAATAAAAACTACTCCAATGGTCCAAACAGATGCCTGGAACACTCTGGCTTTACTCCATCCATTCAATATGYCCCTATGAGAGTATTAATGTAGTTATCTTTCTAATAGGTTTGGTTTCAAAATAGAAGAGCTAAATGGAGAAAGAAAGAGAAGGCAATGGGTCGAGAAAGTCCAAATTATCTSTACCCCTCCCCTRCAGACTACCGCCGTGAAATGCACGATATTCAACAGCTTTCAGGATCATATCATGGCATGCCTTCTGGGGCAATAGCAGAGAGATGGGGCGCTCATGTACCRGCCCTTAGTTTAGTGTCCCCWTACGCTGCACTCCCYCCGTCATTTAGCCCGTATGGACATCTTCATGGCTCAACACCTTTRTCTCCTACATCCCCGGGGTTTTATCCTACGGCATTTGTAAGAAGTCCTTACCTTCACCCTGCAATGGTACCTTATGTGAAGTCACCTGTAAGCCCCCGAGAGGGACATGACATGAGAAAGACAAGTATCGAGGATCTTAGACATAAAGCGAGGAAACACTCCGAATCGATGACATCGTCCCCTACAACAGAAGAAGACGATATCGTATCTAAGTAATTATGAACATTTTTTAAAAATGATTTAATTGGGTTCTGCCAAACKTTGGTGACAAAGAATTTATGAAATTTATTGAATGTACAATATTATTTGCATTTCGCTTTCTACAAAGCAGCTTTGATGTTTGGGTGAAAAATTTATTATTTGTACTGTMAGTGATATTTATTATAATAAGCAAATAATAGGCGTGGGGTTTCCTAGGTTTGGAGATATCGAAATTTTAATTTATAATCACAAATTCATCCACCACGATATGTACCGACAAAAACAACCAATCAACCATCAGGTGCGGAACTGGGGGAAAGGTTTAACTTAATGTGGGGGCTGCAACCTTCCTTTGAGGACTACTGGTTAGAAGTTGAGCTTAAAATGATAATACATTGTTTGGGCATTTCATGACATGTATCTTTTTTATGTTACGTTGGTAAATCTGTCGGAAAAATAGAAAATTAAAAAATCTAAACTTCTAAGCAGGAGTAAAAACTTCTATAAAGTGAGTCAACAGCAAAAGATTGCATAACTGACAAAGCCCAGAAACAGTGGGTAACGCAACAACAACAACAGCAACATAACAAGAAAACCAACAACTAAAAAACTAAAAACAAACAACCAGGCATAGAATAATGAAAAATTATACAAAACGTAAAAAAATAATAATCATCATCATCATAAGAAGTCGACCAGTTCATACCGTGGCACAATGACTAGATGAATCGTGAACACACCATAGAGTAACCACGTGGAACCATCAGTAAATGCCAGAATTGACAACATTCACAACGCAGTGGTTAGCAGAAATTATTTGCACAATAGATCATGCTGGATATCTTTTCCGTGAGTACTTTATGGTGAACTGAGCTCTAATTATTGTGTCATTCTAGTTTTGATGGATAAATGTAAATATTTTCTCAAAATTTAGGCGTTTTGACAAATGTATGACCAATTTGTAATACACATTTCAGAAGATTTATATTCATCAATAAAATATTTGGATGAATTGACTGTGTGGTTTTGAGATGTACAATATCTGTTAACAAACAACATGCTGTTATCTATAAAAAATCCGCCATTTTGTGCAGGTTTTCGGCGAGGTGTACTATGGTAGTGACGTATCAAGATGGCTGACACTATAGGAGAAGAAGTTCTTTGGGAGAAATAGTCAGCTTTACTTTCAATTTTGGCTCGCAGACTATGTTGTGCATGGTCATTGAACCAAAATATCTAAAGTTGGTTATGAAATGATATTTCTATAACTAGAGTTAAAAAAAAAACAGTTTGGAAAGAGACTCGCACTTTCGTCAATCCCTTTGTACATCTCGCCAGCGTTATTAGACATAAATTGACAATCGCAGACTTCCCGTTTTTTTAAATTATCGGCACTAAGCACAAATTCATCAATTCCAAGTTAGTTTTTTATTTAATTCCTGCTGAATTTTTGTGACAAAAGGCCTTATGGGGCCTCTCGTCACTATGTCATTGTGTGAGTGATCGAACCGTAACCATCCATTTGTAGCAGGCGTTCCTAGCTAGTCCTTGATATTTTCAAATAGATATATTTAAAAAAAAAATCTCTAGAGATAAACAAACAAAGTAGAAACAGAAAAGAAAAAGAAGAAAAGAAAAAAAAGGAGGAAGAAGAAAAGATATCAAAAAACAAACCAAAAAGAAACAAGTAAAAAATAGAAATTCCAGCAGCAGGGCTCGAACTCAGGACTTTCGCTTCAACAGAAGATGTAACCCCCCCGGAATACATAAGAAATAATGAAAATAAAAAAACTAAAAAGATGGGACGATTCCCCCGAGACATTCTATGAAGCTGAGGCGTCGAATCGGCTTACGTTACGGTTAGAGATTTCGGCTCTTCCACGCTATCCCGAGTGAACATAAAACTTAGTCTTAACCAAAAGGCCAGRGAGTGAGGGGGTAGCCGCCCACTAGAGCATACCTTTAGCTACCCTCTTAGACCATCGTACTATGAAGACACTTATAGATATATAATACCTAATCGGGATAGTCTATTCGGCGAAGTTCTATGCTAATGTATAACGTCACCAAAATCCTTAGGAGCAGCGAGCCAATCAGTGCTCAGCTCAGGAATTAGCAAGCGATAAAGAGTTTGCACAATCATTCTTTAGTGGCTATATTATTTGATGGGGGTGGGGATGGGTGCCGAGTGCTGGTTTGCGGCCGAATACCGATGTAGTCAATGTAATGTGACGGCGAAATTATTTCTTGCTCCTTGCAAAAAAAAAAAAAAAATCTTCGTTCCAACAGATTTCGCGTTTTCCATAATCAATACAGCAAAAATATGAAAAGTACTTAAACTCACTTTAAACCGTGGTAAAAAGAGATTTCAACGGATTTGCTATTTTTTTCTCTGACCCCGACCACGGAAGTTCTCCTAACATTTCAAACGAAACGCGCGAAAGATTTGATTGACAGTTCTCTTACTGTAGGCATCGCTGGCCGAACGATGGATTCTTTGAATTATATTTTTGGCTTTATTCGTCTTTTCTTCCGTTGGGAATCCCACAGAACTTTAAAGATACACAAGAATTTGTATTGTAAGTAAATATGGGCTCGAAAATACTAGAACTAAAGACAACTTCGCTGCATTTTCGAAAGAGTAGATGCTGTTGTGTCTCTGTCTTGTTATCTAGACGAAGCATGGAGTTTATCAACAGATATTTTGGTGAGCTATGAATTATCTTCTTTTACTTTTCACTTGGATTTGTGAAGGGGAATTTAACACTCAATTGATGCATTATAAGGGTATATTCTTTTTATTTTGGTTTTCAAAACATTGCCGCGGGTATTCATCTTATCTCGCTGTCGGCCTRCTMCACGAGACTACGATAGATCAATGTGAAGAGGTCATTCATTCATTCTCAGTGAAAGGCCTGTATTTTATTTTAGCATAGACTGATATTATATATACTAGGCAACTAGGCAAGTCTTTCTAACCAGACTTACTAATAATTTGTAAACTTTACTAATAATTCAAAATTCTGATTTTTTTAGTCGAAAATCTTAGATCAAAGTTGTCACAAGCAAATTTGCAAGGACACCAATTTATTCTGGCACAAGCTGCTATTTTAGGTAAGACAGTAAGGTATAGGCATTCATAAATGTATTTATTTTGATATATTGGTCCAATTTTTCAATTTTCACAATCCACTAAAATAACGTTTTGGGCTTCCTGTGTTTTAGTAGCTACAGGAACYCCAAACCTCTCTTACATGTCTTGCTTTTCAAATCTTTTAAAGCAGTGATGTGATGATGAATTCGTTTTAGTATACAATTTACATCAGTTAATCATTTGAGCATTCAAGTTTATTAATACGATGAGTTATGCATCTATTAATTTAAGTTTATTGCTATTGGTTTAGCAATGCCCTGAACATCTGCCAATATTGCACAAAACTGTTGAAGGCGAGGCTTTGGGGAAAGTGAGAAGTATTCATTTCTATTATTCATAGCTAGTCAACCAAAATATTGAAAATGAGGAATTATACACAGCTCTTATATTTTTGGTAAAATGTTTGGTATGGTTATCCCTCTGACTTGACTCCAGTTTTCTCTCTTCCCTWTTGACGGCATCAAGTCGTCACCAAGGGAAGAAGGAAAAAGCAATGCATTCATGTCTTTGTTTTCTTGCTCCTTGCCTTGATGTTTGTTGTGTGTTTATAAGAGAAAGGACTGGACTAAACACATCACGGGGAACTTTTTGATGCCAAGCCTTTGCATCAAAGCGAGATATTGGTTGAGCTTGCAGAGAGATTCACGACTTTCCATGCTCAGCTTCAGTGACCACAAACAAAGCATTGAACTGAGGCGTCAAGKAACACTGATCACRATTTTCTTTTATGCTCACTGTACCTTGACGCCTCGGTTCAATGCTTTGTTTGTGRTCACTGAAGCTGAGTATGGAAAGTCGTTAATGTTTTTATTTCACACCATCTATTACTGCAGGCTCAAGCGATGCTTTGCTTTGTTGCAATGGCTGAGCTAACAAAGTTTTACTGGGAACTTAGTCTCCACTCGCAGCCATTACGAGGYTCGTTCCCAGGTCTCACCCACTAGGAAGAGTGACCTAGGAATGAGTCTCRCAACAGCTGCGAAAGGAGAATACTGGCAACTTTAAAGTGGAGTTGAATTTTTTATTCTTTAATATAGACCTTTGCCTCAACAAAATTTTATGTGCATTTTAATTTTAATGAAATAATTTTTGCTCATTTTTTTGAAGAGTACATTTAATTCTTTTAACTTCACAACATTAATTTAATAGTTATCATAGATATGGTGTTATATCTGTACAAAGTATTTTGAATAAGCATTAGTTATGGACGCTGACTTATCTTCAATATCTATCTTTTGCAAGGCATTATGGGAGAATCTACGTAGCACTCAGTTGATGTAATATATTCATAAAGATATAATACAAAACACATAATACAATAGAACGAGAGACAATGGAATACAATACATTTTATKAATACATTACATCAACTGCGTGCTACGTAGGTCACCCCAAGGTATAACAGTCAGACAGAAGAGAGATGACTGGGTACTAGTCAGATTAAGTAGCACCATATTTAGTGCAGAATATCTCATATACTTATTTCTACTATATTAATACGCTGAAAGTGCATAATATTGCTAACATAGAAAAAGTGAAACATTTATTACTATCCAAGTTGTCAATAATATTTCTTAATYCTAAAAGAAAGACAGCAGGTGAAATTTAAAGTAAGCTATATACAYAAACCACTGCAACTTTTTAACTACACATAATTTTGTTGCAAAAGGGATTTCATGTTCACAATCACCTTATTTTCGAGCATTTTTTCGTATCTTCTAAAATTATTTTAAAGGTATTTGCACTAGTTCCTGATTTTTTAAAACCCATGACTTTCCTCGCACATGACGAGGAATTAAAAAACCATCTCCTCGCAAGTTAGCGCAATAGTAACTTTTACCACAAATGTGTAGGGAAACGCTAAGTCGTGATGTATAAAGTTCATCTTTGAGCTATTTTGCTATTTAAAAACAATATTCACCGCTTTTGCAAGTTATTCGCGATCTTTGCTATGTAGTCGCCATGTTTGATGACGTCATACGATGTATTTCTATAGTCACATCTAACGCGAGATCAGATAATTTCTCTTAGTTTATCTTGTTCCGTTGTTTCAAATAAATATGTCACCGTGATTCCATCTTTTCCCATTAAAGAGATCAATGTGATAGGGATTACAATTCAAATCCGTTTCGATTCTTATCACGATCACCAAAAGCATGTGTTGACTAAATCAAAAACACTACAGAATTTCACAGCGTTTAATATTAACCCTACTTCGCCCAAAGTGATTCTTTTAGAAGTCCACTTAGAGAAGCTGTTCTCTTTTTTTAAACTTCCGGTTAATTTTTTTTTGTAATCTGACTTCCGGTTGAGAGTTTCAATTGGCGATTTCAACCGAACTGGCCGGAGGGCTTAAAGTCGAACTAGTGGTCTTTCGAATTGTCTCCAAATGTTCTTTAGCTTTATATCTCAATGTTGCGATGCTAGATGATCGACTTTCTTCTGTAGGACTTGARCTTGAGGTMGAACTACTCGGGCTTACGGCGGACAGGCTGAGCTCGGATAGAGCACTCGGGCATCCGATGGGTGGTAGATAAGAGGAGTAAGCCGCTAAGGCAGAYGGACCRTACGGGGTTAAGTACCCGATAGCCGTTGGTGAGCCAGATCCCGCAGAGGGGTAAAGTGATCCGTATGCGCTTGAAACAAACGGCAATGTGCCTTTCCACATATCGGAGAATGAAAGACTTCCATAGCCACTACTTGTGCGTGTTAATGATGGTGAAGGCAGGTCCTGCAAACTAGCCATTTCCATTTTCTCCTGTCTTCTCCACTTTGCGCGTCGATTTTGGAACCAGACCTAGTAAAATGTGATGATTAGATCAAAAGGTCTAAAGAAAATCCAACAATTATAACAAATAACGTCAAAACAACACCAAAAAATACCACCACCACCACCAAACAACAACAACAAACAAACGGCAACAACAATAACAACACATAAAAAAACAACATAAACAACAACAACAACAACAAACAAACGGCAACAACAATAACAACACATAAAAATAACATAAACAACAACAACAACAACAAACAAATCGAATGCAACATGTTTTTTTGAGCGATCTCAGTGATATCATGGAAATCTAAAATGTATGTATGTACTAAATGTACGTATGTATTATAACCTCTTTGGCTTTTAAGCACTTTAAAAAAATGGACCGCTGTGGCTAGTCAGCTCATAATAACCATGCATTTGAAAGTACTTTTAGTAGAATAGAAAAAAAAAAGATTGAAAGACGCATATCCCCCCTTTTATTAAACATCATTAGCACTTTGAGCATTTTGTACTGATTTGATTGATATATAAGAATTCTTTACACTTCCTATTTATCAACTTCCTCTAAATATCGTTTTTGACATCTTAAAAGTGACGATAGAATAATACTGCTCGGAAATAACGTCCCAGAAGTATAATTCAAACTTTGATATATCAGGTTTGTTTATATTAAGAATTAACTTGTTTCCGATACAGAGTTTTAGATGTTAATTGCTTTTATAAATACTGAATGTATGTTAGTTTCGCTATCTGTGAACAATATTAATCTTTGATGTTATCAATACTGTTCTATTAGAATAGAAGTGGCAACGCTGATAGCGCCCGGATACAATCTTCATTTCAGTAAAATGATTTTATCAAACAAAGTAATTTTTTTTCTTTCTTTTTTTCAATCTTATCATCCAACATTTATTGAAGCAATATTTTTTTCACAAAAACTTCAATTTCCTTGGGGTATGTACGTGTCTATCCCTTTTTGTGGTTTCTTACTTCGAGTGGTTTTCGGCATTAGTCCGTATTCATGTCGGATGAACTTCGGAATCCGATTTCGTGATGAGTCGTGACGGTCCTAAATCTCTGTCAGTAAATMCTTTATTTTGTGATACTGGTTTGTTATAATATTGTAATCATACCTAATTGAAAAATCTTTGTCGGGTTCAAAAACTATCGAAACTGAGACCTAAGAGATTATGGGAAGGCAAAAAATGGTACAATGTCGTACAATGTTGTGTGTGTACTATTATTTCAGTTGCCAAAAACTCTATGCACTAAAAAATATCGATTCCTCTATAAAAATTAATTTTTGWAGAACACGTTTAAGTAAATGTGATTTTTAATCCCGATTACCCAAAATCCACATCGGTCTTAGGTYCAGCGACTTTACCATTTTGAACGTGGAAACGTTGTTTCAATTTGGTATATTTGTTAATTAAAGAAAAGATTGGCAAAATGCACGATCGACACCTCTTTTGGGTCACTCGATTGTAATTGTAGAATCACTTAATGACAACAGTTTATATGAACGCAAACGAACCAGAGAAAGCCGAAATCATCAAAGATTTTGTTTGACTGCCTATGGCGGGTGGCACTCGGATGAACTTTCAGCTATCCAGCTCCATTATATACAAGARCCTTTTTCATGTAACTTTTCGCTTTATCATATACCTATTGGGCTACATACTGAATGAAATACAAACCATTTTTAAGCTAGAAAGACACGGAACGATTTACCAATATGGGCACTGAAAGGCGTCAAAAGTGAAGACAGATCTAAAAAGTGCTCCACTTAAACGCGTTATTAAATTATTTCATTCKGRTCTCTTTCGAAATTYTCAAGATTTGTACTTAMTGYTGTACAGACAGACAATCCCTGACTAAGACAATTTCTAGTGGGTTTTATTGCTRTAAGAAGATTCGTGTATATTGAGCTTTAGATACAAGAGTTTTATGATGCTTGATCACGAAATGTTTTACCAGCCTCTTTTTGTAATTACACTATAATCAATGGACWAGGCTGTTATGTAAGGATGACTAAAAACACGTGCAATTGATAATTCCACTTCTAATTTTCAAAACTACAAGTCTTACCAAAAAACGGTTCGTTTTAAACATTATTAATAKCAAAAAAGCCTTTTTTCTATCCATGCAGACGTATGGTASTGTGGTAAAGAATAYACCTCAGAGACACCCATTTTGGCTTTTTCGACTCAGGCTTGTGCGACTAGCGCGAATCGAGGRTAAACGTTTTCCTCTTGAGACGAGAATAGGTAACGATGAGCATTTTTTCGTTTAACGTACAACTATATTATAATTATTAACATTATTAATAGCAATTAAGATAWAACCAAAGTCCCTTCYAACCGAAATTTATGCACACAATCTTWCGACTTGAGTTATTTTTTGCAATGAGTTCAACTCGAAATATTCCGCGAAATCGCATGTACAATGTCGAAATAAACCGAATAAAACAAAACGCTTAGCCCGTCATCAGCGGGCAGTAATGCGAAAATCACAAAAGTGTTTAGACTTCGAATACTACTAAAAAATCGTAAAACTTAACGAGTTTATTCGAGTTATGATCCAGAAGGGTGATTTTGCTCAGCAGCATCGACTTCATTATCCAAAACCTCTCCATTTTCATAGCATAGTTTACTGAATTATTTTTTTCCTTTTCAAGAAAAAAAATCAAATTGACGAATTTTGTTTGTCAAAAGATGTTAAGTCTTTATTATTATTTGTTAACGTTCATAGGTCTCCAGTTTGTTTGAAAATTTTACTGCCTTGTGCGAACCCTTGAGCGGACATATTATAACCTCGTTAGGGAGTAACCCTCGATGAAGTCGCGGCCAGGTTGGGATTTCAGTTTTTTGTCCCATTTCAAATGGAAAACATCCAAGCATATTATCATAATCCGACGAATTTTGAAAGTTGTTTGTGAAAAGTTGTTAATGTAATAGAGATCTGGTTAACAAGATAATTGGGGTTTTCAAAAATACTCTTCATACAATGATTGTTTACTAAAATAATTCTATTTTCTAATCATTGAAAAAAGTCATTTTTAAAAAATATATAAAATTTCTTTTTAAAAGTAATGTTTTCGTGTATAAAACTCATTTGCTGCTGTCTTGTACASAAATTCTTGTTTATTTGTTATTTAATGAGCCTGTTATACCGTTAAGAAGTCTCTAATTCGTTTGCTGGAAAGGCTATACATTTTTGGTAAAGCAAATMGTTTGGAAATGTTGAATAGCATGAAGTTTTCCCAATAAGTATCATCAAAATACTATTCACAAGTTGCTACGATGCCAAATGAACCCCCTAAATCCCCCACAACAAAGTTATTTTCATGATACAACTTGTTTTGACGTCTCGATTGCTTGTGGCCGTTAAGAGAAATTCATAAATGTCGACAGCTTTTTAATCTCTTCTTTAATATTGACGCTTTTAAAATTCAAAACAAGATATTCCCAACAAGGGTGTTTCTAGGTGTGAAAGCCCTTAMAGACCGCCTTCTGTGTGACTGAATAGGTCCTTAAACCTCTCTAATACAGTAATTTTGTGAACAAAAATGTGCTAATGTTGTTGTTAACAGTGCCGTTCATRTCCTAATTTTTTCTTTTGAGCGCTTATTAAATATTTACAAGATTATAAAACACTTTTTTTATTTGCTAATTACCTCTTCAGACGCGACTGAAATGCATTTGTTTGGCATTTTCAATGGAAGAATTGAGTATCATCATGAAACGTTATTAGCCAAATTATCCCTATTAAGGACAGCAGCAAAAGCCGTTCAAAATCCTAAATATTTTTACTATCAAAGAAAGGCTTGTCTTAAGTGTTATTGTCCTATGCTTTACTTTGTACCGAGGTCAAACTTGTTCATTTACGAAGRAACAGAAAACAATATTTTTTCCACCATGAATATAAACAAATCCTGTACTTAATAACTCATTTTGCTAATGCGTTTTTGGTCTTCAATAATGCAGTTTCTTCYTCAAGGCCAATTTGGGTGCGACATATTTTTCCAAAACACATATTGTTAAATTATGCCCAAGGGCTTTGTTTGTACATTTAGTTTGAAGTTTTGTGGTGCCATGGGTACTGCGCCTCTATAGAGTGAATTAGGGCTTAACAAATACCCGTGTAATTAGGGAAAATAACAGTCATTTTGAACTAATTATTCACTTCTATTTTGTAACTCTGACGTTTTTTCAATGTAACCTTGGTGAAGTTCTTGCAACGACCTTGAAAAAGCCAAGGAAACCACGGCTCCTCAAAACGCGATGAGTTTCTTTCGSYGCGCGGCGTAAGAATCGCCCTGCAGTACAAGAGTGTTAATATGCGGTTTGGATGCGAAGATTATCAAGTCTCCCGAAGTGTCAAGTCCTTAATTCAAATAACAGAATCTCTTTAAATTTTCATCAACCAATTTGCAAGATCTTATTGAGCAAATATTGCGAGATCTTGAATCTTTCGAAATGTACAACACTAATTGACAAAGACGAAAACCTCAACGGATGTAAACTGGAGAGCTCTAACTGAACGCCTTTGATAAAATAAAGAGGTTTTCACACGAAGCGTACTTCATTAAATAAAGACCATTCGAATGCGTTGTTACGGCTTCAATTGTATGTTATATTATAAATGGATGCTTAAAGAGATAACAGTTTGTAATTACAACTCGCTTAAAATCCTRAAATTTGCTGTTTCCTGTAAACTGTATATTGTTTTAATAACTTAAATTTATGATCTTAGGTATTGCTTCGTATATCTTTCATCCCCAAATCTTGGATGCTTCWTTAGGATTTTTTACTATCGGGACGGCTCATGCGGATTGCGATAATAGACCAATTTGAATTCTAATCCGTATAATTTAGCATTYGTAGGGTTTGTTAATCTAGAAGGCAAATACTGACTTAAACATACTAATTGGTTTTTTATTTGTCTACTTATATAAGCCAGTAAAACTATCTAGTTGCAGCTCATGGAGCGCTTTAAAACATTTATAATTACTGTAAGTAAATGCGCTTTTGTGAATTAAACTTAAAGCCTCTAATCACAGAAAACTATAACATTAAACTTTTGATGACATTATATGTGTTCAAGATCTTCCGTAGAAGTTCGTGATACAATCTAAGCGCAAGTAACATGGAAATTAGCTTTATTCTGACGAGAATGGAACTTTATGTTTATTTTCTGGAATTCATATATTTATCTTGTACGCTGTTTAAGCTTATCTTAAAAACAGTTGATGACGCTTAGTGAATTGTCGAAGATCGACTTAGGTGTAGACTTTACCAGTAAAATKCTCGAATTGTACAATTTGTAATGCCGTTTTTCCGTCGCTAAAAAATTGTACAACGGAAATTTTAAAGGATTTAACAGATTGCYCTAATGAAAAGCTATTAGTATAGGATATCATTCAAATCACTCAATACAATGTAAATATATTGATAATAATAGATGCGAGCTTCTTACCTGTACTCTCACTTCAGGTAGACTTATTTTCAAAGCAAGCTCTTCGCGTGTGTAAACATCAGGGTAGTGCGATTTCTCGAAAGCCTGCTCAAGTTCATGGAGCTGGTATGTTGTGAAAGTCGTTCKGTTGCGACGAAGTTTCTTCTTCGATGGGCTTTCGCCACCGTTGTCGTCTGAAGCGAGAAAAAAAGATGAATTTAGGACTAAATATCTAGATTTGGAAAAACTACCTCGTTCTAAAGTCAGTCGAGTTTGTTTTCAAAATAAGATTTGATATGGTATTCTAATGTGAACCTGATTTTGTTTCGCTGGAGCTAAGTTCGGTGTCAGAAATATGATCCTCTTCATCATCTGAAGCGTCTTGGTGAGCTCCAGGCTTCTGTATCTGRTGTTTCGCCTGTGGACGTCCAAGAATCGCGTCTATGGAGTGATGATTYTGTGCTTTTGCKGGGGAAACTTCTTCTTTCATCTCTTGGCTAGATTTTTTTGGTTCGCGCTCTTCAGACTTGGGTCGGATCATTTTAGTGTAGTATCCGCTTTAGACTAAGTGTGAAATGACCCTTTCTCTTGAAAGTGGACATCTAATAGAGGGCTATTAACAGAATACTTACTGTGGAGCGTTAATAGCACATTAACGATCAAGGCGGGCATAGATATCCAGATAACAATATCTAAGCCAATCACATTCTAGGATTTCTTTCTTCCGATGTGTCGATATTGTATTAAAATTACAGTGCTGTTTGTCAAGACTTGACAGGCTAATTATTAGTCACTGAAAAGATAATCACTAATAACTTGAATAGAAATGAAGTATGGACCATTGTTCAGCGCACAAAGCCAAGAAAGACACTCCAAAGGCATCGAACAGTGATTGACAAGAGCCACAATCGAAGTATCCCTTCAAACCCGAAAACTTCTGAACAGCGTGGACAACAATAACTAATCCGGCCTAATAATATAAGGAGTGTTAAATACTTTAATTTAATTGGGCTAATTTTCACGGCAAAGCTGTCGAAATCGAAACTCAGCAATGTATGATTCCTTATATAAACATCACTTAATTACGTGATGAAAGCTTGACGAGTCTATTCTAGTAGATTCCGCTATGTTAACATTAGGTTTCTAAGTACTCTAGCTTGTCGCTTGTATGCCGTGACTGAACGGGTAAATAATTGACCGTTTGTATAGTACACAGAAGACGTAAAAGTGCACGGAATCGTCGTTTAATAAACGATATATGTGGCGTAAATTAGTAGGTTTACTCACGTAATAATTAGGTGCCAATACGTAAAAGTTTCCCTGAAGTCAAATTCATTTAATTGATGTTGGAAAACTACCCTAATTTGTTAAAACATGGCATAAAAAGTAYACACACGCAGGCTTCCTGATGCGTAAGAATCACGTATGATAACTAGAAAGGTTAACGTTAACTCAGTGGCTCATAAGATTGATGCTGGAAAACGACTCTAAACTTCTAAAACGTATCGAAAAACGCATATTTAGAAACGTAAATAATACACGTGGAGAAACGTTAAAGTTGACTCGGTGTATTTTATTGAATTGGTGTTGRAAAACAACCTTAAATTGATAAAACGTGGTATAAAACGTAAGTAGTTAGGTTTCTTAAACYGTAAGAAATACGTACAATATTTATAGATCGACAATCGAGAAATGTTTTCGAGAAGTCAGTTTGTTTTATTTCAATGTTTGAAAACAATTCCATATAGTTTCAAATGAGAAAACCTCTGGCTATTAACATAAAGCAGTTGTAACGACTACTTGTTTGCAAGCAAATTAAACCCAATTTTCTCTTAATTCCATTCATTATACCTCATCAAGATTAAATACGAGTATTGTGTCGACATTGTCAAAGCACTGAAGGCATCGCARRCCTATGATTATGTAACCTTGGAAACGGGCATGTGGTAAGAGTTCGTCGCGAACAGTTCCTACTGCCACGTGGAAAGACAACCCCTCCATGYTTCAACACCATAATAATTTGACTTGTACTTTCTTAAACAATAGACAATCTTTGACTTAAAGGAACATTATCTCTTCATCTAAAGTAATGTAGTGAACCTTACCAACATCTCAAAAACCCTAAGGCACTTCACATCAAWTTGATGGCTTTGTGATTATCCCAGTCTTTAAGCAGTCTTTATTTTCTTCGTATATAATTATCTTTATTTTTGGTAACTTTTCGTTRCCAAGACTGGCTTTAAGGGCGTTGTTGCGTTGCGTTTCATCGGGAAAATTAAACGATYTCAGTTCAAAGAGGCCCGTGGGAGTCAATAGCGACCGCTCGGTGGTTTCATCAAATAATCTTAATAGGTATTTTGACGATTTCTTTTGTYTCCCTAATTCTCGAAGCCATCAACTATGTCACGGATCGTAATCCAAAACCCGTGAAATATTCTCTTKAATTGATTTTTCTAGCAGTATCGTATATTTTTGTCTTTTGAATATKTACAATGCTCAGTTTGTAAAAGCTGATGCTGGAACAGGTTTGCGGACGCCTATTCAAGTAAAATTTACTGGAGCAGATAATTAGCTTACATTCTTTTTCTTTATGACGCCTTCTGCTTTATGTTCCCGGCGACTCTTTGGCAGTATKAAAATCGTACAACTAACATCTATAAAAATTGTACACCATAGCTTAAACATTTGCGTGCAGACTAAGGATGTACAGTTTCATTTTCAACGTAYGTAAACAGCATTTCAAATACTCTTGCTTTCGAGTTTTAAAGTACTTCAACCTCCAGATCTTAGCACCTATTTTAGGGCTTACTGTAACGGTTCGCCATTATGTTCCTTAATCTCTTTCTTCTCCAAATTCATATTTCTTTTTGTTCGTGAATAATGAGAACTTGAATTTGAAGCGTGTTTGGAATATCATCCTTAGATTTGGCTTCATCTCCCACCCGCTCCTTATTACCGATTACTAACGGATTAAAGGATTATCAAACAATGTACAAGATTTCTACATTTTGGGCAAATTGAAAATCGATTTGTCCGTTCACTGTCAACAAGTTATGGGCACGTGGGCTGCCTTCAATGCCGTCGCCTTCCTTCGGCTCGTTTTATGTATGTCGGCATCTGCCTAAACAAACCGATACTAAGTTAGCTACCCGTAGGCCAGAGCAAAACACAAAAGAGCTACAGACATTTAATAAAAAGATAGGTTGATCCGACATAAATTGCAATAAGGAATCTTAGGCGCTAAACAACTGACAATAAACTGAWGATAAAGTCATTGAATTAGAAMATTMGCGGCGTTTTTTTTTTGCGAAGAGTTATTGAATTCATCGGTATCTTAATGAAAGGATTATTCCTTAACACTGGCTATCTGCCGCTTTTTTATGTCCTCGTCGAAGAGAAATTTGGTTCGTTGGATCGTAAGGTACTTTTAGAATGTATCAATTCGAGTTGTTTGTAGGAAAAGTCAATATACATCGGTAGGGTTCCGTTATTAGAGAAYTGACCTCTTGCTTGTAGTCATTGTAGTAAACAGAAGCTTAATCAACGTCGAATTGAATAGTTTTTCCGTCGTCAACGCGGTCAGAAATATGGAGTATGTATTTGAATAAATCATTTTCAACTCTATGACCCTGTTGGAGTTGATTATCTATGTTAAATCAAACCGACCTTTCGGCCTCACTGTCTTCGGGGCACGCCTTTGTGGTTGCTCAGTCAACTTTCAGCCAAATCAGTGCAACAAGGCCATTTTCTAGAACAAGGGATGGTGGGAAACTGGACATTGWACTTTTCGTAAATCATTCCCATCCATACAAAATGATTTATATATATATATATTTTTTTGGAAAAATACAAGTTGTTCTACCCTGTAAAAAAAATAGAAACAAAAAATTAATTTGGGGATTACCACGATGAAATGTGCTCGGACTTTAATAGCTTCYTCRATGGTTTCCCATGATGCTTTGTTCTAATAATTGCCGCTTTAMAATACCTGGATTTCCTATCGAAATAGCGCGATGTCCGAAAGAGATTGGTTAACTTGATTGTATAACCAATTATCTTAGATGGRACATGCCATTTTTGATTATGGTCCCCTTATTGAAGCAGTTAATTTGCAGAAATTTGATTTTTTAGTACAGTGCAGCAACCTCATAYGTTCATACTTACATGCACTTAATGRCGTCGATACCATTTTTTATTATACCTCTTAGCAAAAAATATAAAACTTCTCAATACACATGACATAGTTCCATCTTATCTTCATTCTGTTGCTGTATTGATAGTTATAACTTCAGCTTTGATCATTTTAAATAGCCTTGCAATCTAGTAGCTTTGCAGAAGGCAGTATGTGATATTTATTAAAGCTAGGTTATCTAAAAAAACAGACAATAATTGCTTGTATTGAGATGGCTGTATTTGATCATGCTTTGATGGTTTTGCTACCATTGACCACAAACTGCGAAAGCTGAATTCTAGGTTCAAATTCCAAGGTTGACGACACCTCATTTGCCTTTCACATTTCCAAACGATCCTCAGACTTGGGCAGCCTCGTTGGTTCACAATGTTAGCTCATAAAAAATCGTTAGTGAAGTTCCCTTGGGGGACTTARCTCTTGTAGTTTCTACATTGTTTTGTCTATATTGTCGACTCAAATTAAACCTTGCACAGTAACTCTTTTAAATATGCAATTATTGTTTTTAATTTAGACTCTTTCTTGAGATTAGCTTTACTCCAATTGTATTGTGTTACTTTTCTTACAGTATAGATTCATGTCGCAAGCACTAAACTTTGCAGACGACCTGATTCTGTTTAAAAAGTCAATGATTTAGTTTATTTAATTGATGATCTGAAATCCTTATTTASTTTGTTTACTTTTAACCCTTCTCACAAAGATTTTTCGAATTGTCAAAAGTAACTTTTGTCAGTTTATTAAGCTCTTTCCATGGTTTTATTTAGACTTTTAAAAAATAAACACAACAATTTATCTGAACATTGCTAGAAATTCTTATTTATGCATTTTATACGCTAACATCACGATCTCGTCAATAATATAAATGATTAAATTTCCTAAAAAAGAGTAAATGTTGAATTTGATTAACTGGTGGATTTAACTGACATGATTATAAATCAACCGAAGAACCGTTTCTCTGCGTTGCTCTAGCGACTCTTTGCAAGAGACACAAATTAACACCTCATTTAGCTAAGTTATTGATGCCTAATGAAAAAGTAAATACAATTCTTACCATGAAACATGATTAATCTATATAATAATTAATGGAGTACAAAAAGTGCTTTAAAATTCCTGATTGAATAATATCGGGTTTTTTATCTTGGAGAATTTCGTTACTTTAARCATCTTTAAAATGGCGAAAGTCTGAAAAGATGAAACACATGATCGATAAAAACATATTCATGTTTCAAAGGGCTATATCATCTTAGCTAAGATCAAAAGGGAATGTGGGAAAGTATATTATGACATAATATTATGAGTATAACAGTTGTACAATGAACAAAAATTGTTTACACTGTTTGAATGACCTTCTCTACGATTAAAGAGTTAAGAATTCAATTAGATGTTCATAATTTTATTAATCTATATGAGCAAAATCTATATTTAAGGCATTTAAACAT